CAAATCCACTTCCTCTTCCCAATCTCTCCTTATAAGAAAAGGGTGGTAAAGAGAAATGGACTTAAATTAGGCCTCCGGCACCACACTCATCAGACTGCACACAGTATTGCTTCCATTTGACGCCTGTCTTCTGTGCAGTCGTGGTATTACTGGGGGCGTGCCTTGCACTGCTAAGATGTTAAAGCGGGCACTACCACTGTTACCACTACCACTGTTATTTGGAGGACAAAAACCTGTTGATGCCGACCCTACGGGAGTAGCATAAGGAGATGAAGATGATGAAAATACTCACTGAGGTACGTTCACAAAACCACAAGAGCCCGCCTCGAAGTTACAGTATGAACCAAAAGGCATTTTATCTGGAAAATAAAAATGTTTAGGGATCAATTAAAAGTACAAGTACCTATATCTTACTAATATTATAAATGCGAAAGTTTAGATGGATGGATGTTTGTTAGAGTTTGTAGCATAAACGGCTGATCGGATCTCCATGAAATTTGGCACAGGTTTAAAGTATAGTCTGGAAGAACACATAGGCTACTTTTATCCCGGGAATAGTTACGGTTCCCGTGGGATTCATTAATTTAGTTTCTTAATGTTCACTCGATCATTCTGCAACGGTTCAACATATCTTATTGAAATTTGGCACAGATATAAAACAAAGTCTGGAGTACACATGGGACAAGCTTAATCCCCGAGGTGTCCGGTTCCCGGCATACGTAGCTTTTTGTTATTTATATAGTTCGTATGTTTTCTAATACCACGCGGACGAAGTCGCGGGCAACATCTCGTTTTACATAAAGCTTAGGCTTTTCTTCAGGGTTTTTGTTTAAATCAATGATTACTGCCTTTGACTAAACTATCTCACAACTGGTTCGTCTGACTTTGAATTTATAAGCTTATTAGCTGTTCCCGTGCGACTTCATCCGCATAGAATTATGAAAATTTTATTTTATTGTTTACATTTGTCAAATTATCAATTGCAAATGTCAAAATGACATGACATGATGTCAAATGGCAACCTTGCTTCATTAATGTTGGCAGCTTGTTTATGGTCCCTTTCCCATTTTCCGATTTATCTCCCAAGTTTAATAGCGTAAAAATATATAGCCTAAAACGTATAAGTGTAGGGCTTTTTAGTAAAAAAAGAATTATTCAAAAATATGCTTCGATTGACATCCTACGTCACAAAGTAGTGTGAGTTTACGCTTTATTATATTACGAGCTGTTGCCCGCGACTTCGTCCGCGTGGTATTAGAAAACATACTGTTAGGAATAAAATTAGTACCGTGCTATAGAATTGGCGCAACTCTAGATTATCGGCATAAACGTCACGTCCCTAGCTGACAGCTGTCAATGTCACTACAAGTATGGATAGATTGGCGCGTAACTTGAGTCTTGACGAGAAGTATTGCTCTGAGTTAAAAGCGACAGTATCAATTAAATAAGTTGTCTATTAATACAAACTATATAAATTACAAAAAGCTACGTATCCCTCGAGAACCGGACGTTTCTCGGGGATGAAGCTTATCCCATGTGTACTCCAGACTTTGTTTTATATCTGTGCCAAATTTCAATAAGATATGTCGAACCGTTGCAGAATGATCGAGTAAACATTAAAAACTAAATTAATGAATCCCACGGGAACCGTAACTATTCCAGGGATAAAAGTAGCCTATGTGTTCTTCAAGACTATGCTCTAAGCTTGTGCCAAATTTCATGGAGATCCGTTCAGCAGTTTAGGCTACAAACGCTAACAAACATCCATCCATCCATCCAAACTTTCGCATTTATAATATTAACAAGTAAGATTAGCAAGAAGTAAGAAGTAAGATAGATATGGATTAGTATAGTTGTTTAACTAAACAGTTGGATGCTGCAAACCAATCGACAATCGCACAACAATTGTGTTCCGTTAAAAATTGTTACTTACCGCAGTTTTGGTTTTCATCGTTGGCATCATCGCAGTCTTTCACCAGATCGCAGACTTGCTGCAGTTTGATACATGACTCCTTCTGCAATTGACATGGAAATGTGTTCAACAAAACATTTTTTTTATTGAAAATTTTACAGAAAACAAATTATAAAGATGAACAAATATGGCCCCGCAAAAACCATATAATTGTTTAGTCCGCGGGTGCGGTGTTACAATCATACTAATATTATAAATGCGAAAGTTTAGATGGATGTTTGTTAGAGTTTGTAGCCTAAACGTCTGAATTTTGATGAAATTAGGTATAGATGTAGAGGATAGTCTGGAAGAACACATAGGCTGTTCACTTTTGTTTTTTTTTAATTCCACGCGGACG